ATAATAAGAGTCTAATTATAACCTTACATTTAGTCACTTATCATCTTAATATTATATTTACACTTGAAAATAGACTCGAGTTTATCTATCAATGGCGGCAATGTCCAATAGTCTATAAAAACAAGGACTCTCCTCATAGCATAATGCTATTATCCATCATAATGTATTACCTCTCTGTAGGCCTTGTGGCTGGTACAGAACTTTCTACAAGATCGTGCCTTTCTATGGGGGAATTCTCCAATGTGTAATCAACTGGATATCTTTCAGTATAAGTTGGGGTAGCTTCTCCTTGCTGTCGTAATTTTAATTCATCCGATTGTTCCTGGTAAAAGCTTTGAGACGCCTCAATATTCTGTGAGGAGGATTGTTCGCTTTTCTCTATATCGTCTGTAGAATAGTAGCTCTGACTGGCTTCGCTCTCTGGTCTGTGATCGTAATAACTAGGAGAAACATTATGGCTGGAGTAACTCGGTGTAGCTTCTTCCGGGTTAAAATAACTCTGGCTGGCTTCTTGAGGATTACCCTCATAATAACTGGGAGTAACTTCCTCTTGTGGATCTTCGTCCAACCTAGAGTTTGTTTCTTGGCCAACTGGTTCATAATAACTCGCTGTTACCTCCTGATGGTGAGCGTAGTAACTAGAAGGCTCGTTTCTATGATCTGTACTTTCGGTGACAAAGTTTTGGGAAGGTGTCTCTTCTAGGCCAGGCATTGAAATCGGCACCTCATAAGAAGTTGAGACATTTTGTTCTTCATAGCTAGAGGTCGGCACAGAATCTACATGAGTTGATGTAATGTCTGGATTCAAATTATATGACGATGTAGGTATTTCAGGTACTCCATTGTCATGGATAATTGTATGCTCTGCACTAGATGACGCGATATTTAATTCTGCACAAGGTGGAATCTCACAGGACGATGTACTTATTGCACTTTCTTGGTCTGGATCTCTTTCCTGATTCTCAGGAGTTTCCGGCACGTAAGATGAGCTCGCTGTTTCGTCCTCATTCAATCCTGAATTATTAGTAGAGACTGAGGATGTACCAATACCATCAGCACCAATGTCGTTAGACTGAGACGGCATATTTCCCTCTTGACTAATTTCAGTATCGGTTTCTAAAGTCTCTGAAATATTTTCTGCCTTTCCCACATCGTAGCTCTGCGTCGGGAACGTTTGATCATCTATTCCTTCATCCATAGTCGCTCTCTCCTCTTGACTTTGCATGAGTTCATTAAATGATTGAGTAGGTGCATTCGTGTTCTCTTCAGTAGAAGTTTCATACGATTGGGAAGCCTCATTCATCTTTGAATGCTCAAACGATTGACTTGGTGGCTCTGTGACAATGGCTTCCTCGTCTGTTTCCATAGGTTCGTATGTTATCGATTGCGATGGTTCCCTCGAGTTCTCTGATTTTATAGCAGATTGGCTCGGTAAATCAGTAGAGTCGGTAGTCACTGCTACACCAAACTGTTCGTACGACTGCGACGGTGTTTCATGACTAGTCTCTGAATTTGTTTCTTCGAATTGCAAGTCCAAGTTTCTTTGAACAATATCTGACTCTCCTTGAGATGATGGCTCGTCCCTTTGACAGCCTTCTGGTTCCTTTACTGTACTCGCAGCATAAATTTTAGACTCCATAGCTTCATCCATATTTATACTTTGTTCATCTAAACGGTTTAATGATTCTGCAGGCAGAATTTGAGCCGCCTCTTGAACAACTTCCACTTCATTGGACGTTGGTGCCTGTTCCTGCACTACAGGAGAGTGAACTTTATTGTCAGGTTGTTCATCGAATGTCAGTTCTTCGAGTTTCTTTACATTTTCTGATTCTTGCGATGCATCCGCATCTATTTCATTCGAGTCCGATACTTCAAAGCTCGTATGCTCTACAGGCGACATTTTTACACTGGATTCAGATGTGACTAAACCAGTTTCATCCATTGAGGATAGATTACTCGTTTGAATAGATTCATCTGGCTGCTCTGAAATATCTACATGTTCTGTATTATCATTATTACTAATCTCTTCATTTTGCTCACCTATTGTCACATTAGGACTATTGTCCTCTTTATCTGCCGAAGACTGTAAAACCATTTCCTCCGATTTCATGGATACTTCTTGAGAAGAATATACTTCTTCTAAAGGTGTTTCTGCGTTTTGTTCTCCATCCAAAATAGCAGGCTCGTTCGTCGATACAATGGGTTCTTGAGAAGCTGCAGAGTCATCTTGAGATATGTTCATCTCTGATGTTACAGTGGTGTCTTGTGATTGTACACATTCCGTAGAAGTAGGTGGTTTTGAGACAAGCATCTCTGACACGGCTACATTTACGAAAGATTGCTCTGTTTTTATCGATGGTTCTACAGTTGAACCAAATTGAACGTTTTCTGTGTAGGTGTCATCTATTATAGGCATCGATGGAGTAGTCTGCACTTGCGAAGTTTGTATAACTATACTATTTGGTATCGAAACTGAATACGAGACACTGGGCACTGAAGTAGTATCGTTCTGCTCTTTCTGAGATTCTGTGGTTATGTTACTTTCCAAATTCGGCAACACTAGGTACTGAGTAGTTACTGGAACATCTGATCTTGTAATTTCGGCTGTGCTCGAACTTTCCATGATCTCTCCGATATCTGGCATAGAATTACCAGGAATCTGGATTTGTGCTTCACCCGTTGAAATGTAAGAAATGCTAGGATTAGTTATAGTAATCGGCAACTCAAGGGAAGTTGGTATGGTTGTTACAGTCGAACTAGGTGTTGTTTCTGACTGTATAGGTAAATTACTAGGCACCTCTAGCGGGGTCATTATAGGTTGATTTAAGGTCAACGAGGTCTCGAGTACAGAAGGAGAAGATATTGGTTCTGTAGGAGGGATGATAGTTGATTGTAAAATAGTCTGATTTATCAAACTCGTTTGAGTTAAGCCAGCAGTCATCACACTTCCAGCTGGATTCTCTGATAAATTGATTTCTTGTTGGAAATCTGTATTAGCTAGAGCAGCTGCTAGAATATCTTGATTCGATGTTTGTATTACTTCTGAAGTGGGGAAGCTTTCTGATATAATCGTTTGTGTGGGTTCTGTAGAACTAGTCTGTATGTTTGGTAGTACACCATTGTCAAACTGTAGAACAATATTGTCTAATGTACCTGCCTCTCCTAACGAACTGGGGTCTATGTACAAAGTTCTTGTACCATCTGGATTTTGCGTCGTGCCTTCTAACGACATAAGAGCGTTATTATCAAGCGGCTGTATCTGTCCCTGTTCATCGATGGTCACTAGAACATAAGTTTGCGTTCCATCACTACTCTCCGTTGGTAAGGCCATTATTTGCGGCTGCGTAGTTATTTTCGATTCATCCAATTTTTCTGCTTCACCGACTTTCTCGATACTGAATTTGTCTCCTTTAGGTTCCTTTTGTATAGTTTCGGAGAGTATAGTTTCCATTTTCAATTTCTTTTCAGGTTCAATAGGTTCTAACGGTGGAAGAGACAAAGAAGCAGGGAGAGTTGTGCTTACATTAGCTGTAGCTGCCGAGTTCATTGCTATATTCAACAAATTCTTCTGTTGCTGCGTACTTTTACTTATTGCATGACCTTTTGTACTAGATTTAGTGGGTGTAACAGAATGCTTTTGTTGAGTCATCTTAGACATACCCGGCACACCTGCTAGTGAGCCTGCAACATTTTGTTTTGTCTGAATGTTCTGTACAGCTGTGATTGTTGGTTCTTGGACTTTTTGAACGACGATCTTTTGTTGTGTCTTCGATTGCCGTCCACCACGAGGAGCAATAACTTTTTGTATAGTCGATGTAGGTACACCTTTTCCTTTTTGAATCTGCGGATTCATACGCATCGTTTGCTGGCTACCGCTTTGAGTTGCAATATTTTGCATTTGAGAACCCTGTTGCACCACCGTTTGTTTAATTATTCTCTTCCCTTGCCCAGTTTTTTGTGTAGGGACAGGATTCTGCAACACAACTGTGTTCGCTGCACCCTTCAACTGTGTAGATCTTCCTTGCGAAGAAGACATTCCAACCTTCTGTGATTTCTGTAGCATAGGTAATTGCACTTTCTGCTGAACAGACTGATATTGTACTTTACTGCCTTTGGATGGACTTTTTGCCGCGATTGCTTTCACTTGCTGTCCTGTTATTGGGGTCAAAACTGTGGTTTTCGAGCTGATACCTTGAGGACTTAAAATTGTTTTCCCACTAATAGCTTGAGATATCGGGGTTAAAATAGCTTTAGAAGTACCTAAGTTCTGTGAAGACAAAATGGTCGCACCTTTTGTGACTAAAGTCTTCGATCCAATAATCGTTTTCCCACCTAAAGTAGAAGCACTTATTGGCGTATAAATTCCACCTTTTGTAAGAATCCCCTGAGACAATGTTCCCAGCAGAGCGGTCTTACCAATTGTTCCTGAAATCGGAGTCAGTACACCTTTTGATGTTATTATACCTTGTGTGTTAATAATTTTATGACCTGCAGGAAGTTTTGATGTCGTCGGAGATACACCATCACCTTTCGGAGCAATTACCGTTTTTGAATTAATAATACCTTGTGGACTGATAGGACAAAGTACTTGCCCTTTACTAGTCATAATTCTCTGCACTTTGCTACCTAAAGTTTTAGCGATATTTAAAGGTAACATTTTCGTTTGCCCAGACTGCGCCGATGTTAAAATAACTACTTTGCCACCTTGTTGAACTACTTGTGCATTTCCAGCAGCTTTACCGGTCGGTATAGCAATTTTTTGTTGGGTGCCAGGTTTACCTTGAACACTATAACGTAATTGTTGTCCTCCAGATGTTTGCACCACTACATATTTACCTGGTGTCCCTTTTTGTGTTAAAAGAGGGGGAACTTTGCTTGTTGCTGGGGTACTTTGAAATTTAATACCTTTTACTCCACCAGTTAACGGAGGCACCAATGTTTTTATACTCGTAATTGTAGGTTTAGCTTTACTTTTGTTCTTCAAAATCGCAGGAGTACCACTCTTTTTCTTTGTAGGCGATACTTCGGTCGTATTATCACTTAATTTGTATTGAGTTTGAGTAGCTGACATTATCTGAGTTGTAGGGGTGAAAGATAGTGTGGCTGGTATCGTACTAGATGCAGGTATGATAGAGGATATTACGACAGGCATTTGTTCAATGTTTTCTGGTGTTAAAACATCTTCACTAAGAACAAATGGCATTGAGTTTATATCTAATTCCATATCTGCCAAACTCTGAGAACTTTGTTGAATGAATTTCTCAGTTGCAGCTACTGTGGTAGAAACTTTTGAAGTTTTTAAATTCAACTGCTCGTTTTGCGCTTCCATCATTGCAGCAGTTTCCGCTTCTTCAGCTTTCAACACTTGTAGCTTTTTAGTCAACGACATGTGGGATGTTACTTTCGAACCAGTTTTCATTTTAGTGTTCGACGACAGAGATTCGATTTTCATTACTTTCGCCTTTGGACCCGCTTTCTGATCAGACCTTTTTGTGCTTTCTGTTTCTAGTTTATGCTTTATTCCTTTTTGTGGGAATTTATCCAATAATTTTGATTTTAAAATCTGCATAGGCTCGGTTAATGTAACATTTTCAATTATTCGAGGCATCTCACGTTTCTTCACTGGTACTGCAATGTCGGATGACGGTGATGGCGTAGATGTTGACATTCTTGATGATTCGTCCACCTTTTGTATGTCTATGCTAATAGATTTTGAAGTCTCTTCGATAGAAGATGATTGCACTAGCGACTTAGATGTATTGTCAAGTTCACTTGATGATGAAGCAAGTTGATCTACATTTTGAAGCATGGTATCATCTGTTTTTGTATCCATTTCAACGTTTTGATCAACCACTACTTCTATACCTTCAAAATTGCTCATAACCGTGACCTGTGAATTATTTTCTTCAGCTTGAATATTCGACAGATTTTCAAGCTTTTTCGGTGACTCCTCGTTAGATTTCACAGCTGGGATTGTCTCAACAGTAGAATTTGTTGCATCCATATCTTCTTCAAGCTTCTTCTTTATCGATCTTTTACCTTTCTTTCCCTTCCAAGTTGTATCAGAATCGTCAACTCCTCCTTTTTTCTTGTCTATGTGCAAAGTTTTCAAGAAAGCTTCCTGAAATGTATTTGATGACTTTTCTTCAACAAATAGCTCTTTGTCCTTCTTCGATTTAGCACCTGTTTCCGGAGTAAATTTTCCTTTGTACCTTGTTTGCATAGCCGATTTCTTTGGAGATTGTTGCTCGCTTGCTGCATCTTTGGATGCTGGTTCCGAGCTTTCTAATTTTAATCCTTGCTTTTGAATGTCAGAGGTTTCCGTTTCGGTTTGATGAACTTCTTCGTTTACTGGTATAGCCTCTTCAATACTTTGGATTTTTGTCTCTCCTTTTGGTACTTCTTTCATAGTATCCTCATTTTTGGTATCTGACTCTAGTTTCTCAGAAAATAAGTCTTCTTTCTCATTCAAAGAATGCGGCTCATCCGTACCCGCATCATTCTTAATTACTTCTGCATGTTTTAATTTTTCCTGCCCGCTATCTAATTCGGGTTCTACAGTAGATTTACTAACAGTGGCATCCGAGTCAAAAAAATCAATTTGTGATAACTCAAACTTTTTAATCTGTGACTTTTTCGGTGGTAACATCTCAACAGTCTTTAAAATATCTGTTTGCGAAGAAATATCTTTTTCTGTTGAAATTTCCGGTTGAATTGTAGCACAGGTTTCTACATTTAGAGTTTTCAATTTTTCTGTATGAACCTCGCTGGAACTTAACAAATTTTCAGTCTCCATTGTAATGTCTTTTGCGTTTTCAGGTTCAAGTATTGTATCCTTAGTTTCGGCAACATTTTCTTTCACCTGAGATTTTATATCTTCGGGAAAGGCAGATGTGTATGCTTGTAAATCTTTTTCTTCCGAAGACATTTTTTCATAAATTTCATTAGAAACTTGATTGTCACTGTCTTTTGTATCTGCTTCCATAATGATTTCGTCTTTGTGTGTATCGCTTTCATTTAAATTATCTTGTAATTCGATGCTAGAAGAATTAACATTATTCTCCGATACATTCGACACATTGCAAGAGATTTCCAATTCTTTTTGTTCTTCAAGCTCGATCTTCTCACTTATTTTCGTATCGGTTGTTGACAATTTTTTATTTCTTTTTGTTCTACCTTTCCCCTTTTCAGTACCCTTCTCCTCGCTTTCAGATTGGCTTTCATCAGTCTTATATATTCTTTGATCTAATTCCTGCACATATATATCAGATTCTAAATATTTTTTATTCGGTTTTCGCTTTCTTCCACTGTAGGAACGTTCACTGTCAGACTCCGAAATTCTCCTTTCGACTTCAAACTTTTCTAAAAGCTTTTGACTGCTTTTGTTATCTTTTATCCTTGGACTTTCGTTCCCACTAGTATTACCACTGGTACTATGTAAAGATTCTGACTTCCTTGGTCGGCCCCTACGCTTTCTTCCTTGCGGAGTAACGTTTAATTGATCGTTGTTTAACAAAGTATTAGCAATCGCAGAATTGGGTCCTTGATCTTGATCCAGCATATCTGCATCAGAATTTTCGCTTTGATCCGGAAGCGTGTCAGCTGATTCGGAAACTGTTTCATCTTCTGTTTCGGTAGTAAATCGCTCAGAAGAAGCTTCGTCCATATCTTTTGAAGGTTGCTCTGTACTTTCTTTAATTTCATGATCAATATCTATACTTTTATATTCCGTTGATTTATCAACGATAGTTTCATTCTGCACACTTAATTCTTTATCTTCTGTTAATTCTACCTCGGTATTTGTTTTAGGAACTTCTTGTGTTTGTGGTTTTGGAGAAGTTACAACATCTTTACATTCATCCTCGGACTTTTCAGCCTCAAATATTTCTATGACTTTTAACTCCGTTTTAACATCACTAGTTGCAGATTTCTGCACGTCCGCTGACATTTTTTCAGGTTGTGATTTTTCTGCGAGTTTCTCAGCTTCATTCTTCATTGATTTGTCTTCTTCTACAGATTTTTTGCTTTTCCCGTATTTCTCCAAATCCTTTACCCCTAAAGACAACAGCGCATCCATCTTTTCATTTTCATGTATCTTAATATTATTATCCTCGTCTGCAGTTTTATTTTCTGCTTCTTTCTCCTGCTCTGTTTTTAAAGCTTGACTCATTTCAAATTCTTTTATAATTTCTTTCTTTTGGTGAAACGCGCGGGCTTTTTTCCTTACAGGAGGTATAGATAACTCCTCTTCATGAAAATCAAAACAAGACAATAATGACTTCCTATCATCTTTGTTGGGTGTATTGTATTTACTTTCATTATCAGAATTGAAAGATTCTTTTCCTTTCTGTGATTTATTGGCAGATTCGTTGATTTCAACATCAGATGTGTCTTTCTCCTGATCGGGTTGCTTATCGAAAAGATTTGATTTAAAATTTTTTGATATATCAATATTATCCGTTTCAGAGTGCTCCAGTATATTAATTGATGTCAACTTCTCTGTTTCTTTAAGTAATTTTTCAGTTTCTGCAATAATTTCATTAGGATCCGATAGTGTATTATTCTTCTGACCAGACTCTTCCGATTTATCAAGATCAAAATGACTTTTCGTTGGTGAATTATTTACAGGTGTTAATTCAGATTGTTTACTCTGGTTCAGACTAATATCTTCATCAGATTCATCTTCCCAATCTGCCAATATAGTATCACGAATTTTAGGATCAGTTTTCTTCTTTTTAGCAGCTTTTTCATTTTGTTTAATTTGTTTTCTTTTCGCTGATTCCCCACTACTCTTACTTCTGCTCGATTGACTTTTATCTTTCTTCACGTATTTCCTTTTCGGAGTATCTACATCCGAGTGTCTACCCCTATACTGAGAATAAGTTTTCACCTTTGTTTTTGACATTGGCGAATTTCCAGACCTATGACTTTTTATATGACAGATAATAACATTGACGCGGGAAGAAGTGAAATTACACAAATGACAAGGATATTGTGGAGAACCGGTATTATTTGGTGTTGATGGTAAACTGCTAGGCTGTTGACGAATTCTGACTTCATGGTCGCTCTCCTTTAAAAATCGTGGGTGAGTGATCTTCCTTACAACTTCCATAGAATCGCTTCTTCTAGGAGTATCCTCTCGTTCCTTTTTTTTCTTCGTAACCTTTTTATCTCCAAATAAAGCTGATATATTTGGCTTCTCCTCGGGGCAAAATTTATCATGGTTTAGTATATCTGGATCACCTCCAGTCAACTTCTCAGCCATTTCAACGTCTCCAGGAAATTTATCCATATACCGAGAGCCATCTTTGCTTTTGCTTCTATATTTATCTGTAAATTTAATAAATCTACGATAAGAAGCGATGTTTAATGTAAAAGATATATAATATAAAAAGAAGTATACCAAGTCCTTTCTTGATGAATTCATCTTTTTGTGTACAATTGTATTTGTAAATTTGTTGATAGTTTTTCACAAATTCGCTGAAAATAATAAAAATTCTGTGTTAATCATGTACATAAATTATGCAAATACGCAGAATGAATGTATCAAATGTTTAAATACCTACATATTAAAACTACAATGTACATATAAACAGATGAATGAATATTAGCAAAACAACATTAATGATAAATTGCTTACTAGGTGTCTTCTTGAAAGAACTTTACAGCAGCTATTAAAGGCTTCTTTTGAAATTCATCTTGAATGTCCTTAGGTAAATTATGAAACCCGGTAACCTGTCCTGGCCACCAACAAGCTCCAAGTTTTACCCATACTACGTCACCGTCCAAGTAATTGATTTCTGTTTGTTCACACATCTTAAAGATCCGTTCAGTTTTACTCCTTCACAATATCAGCATCTAAGTTTAAAATTATTATGTTGCTTTTTATATTTGTTATTTCGACAAGTAACTTTACTACTAGATGCTTCGATATATAATCATATAAAAGACGTAATGTATCGATTGAAATATAATCTTAATACGCGTGAATGATAATTAGCGTAACTTTATTGACAAACTAAACATGATCCATATAAGAAGCCATACAAAACAAATGTGGTTCCCAAAGAATCTACAGATTCGTCTAAGTTTCCGTGCACCTTTTGATTATGTTTCCTTCATTTCATGGCTTATCGAACTTAAAATATGTGTGCAAATCGTTAAAACACTTTCAGTCTCTCCATACAGTTTTTCCAAAATGTAAATATGAAAGACAACTCAGTCACTAGCGAGTCCTCCAGAGAAAACATTTACAGAGCTTCGAATAATTCTATGTCCATCCAGATCTATTGATTGCACCATAAACATTTACATTAATATTTAATGTCCAACATAGTCTGTTAGAAGTGAACGTGTGAAAGAGTATGTTAATAAAATCGTCGTTGTTATCTTGGTACAGTGCAGCAACAATTTCATGCTACCACGACGGACAAAAATATTCACACGAAACAGCCAGTTAATTTATGTGAGCACTGTTCGCCGTTTCAAAATACGATGAACTTCTTGCCCATATGTACGAATGGACGTGAAAATTGGATCGGACGTGTATTCGCGGGAAACCAGGAGTGAGCGTCGCTCCACTCGTCGTGCACCGCTTCGTTGACCCTGGTCTCGATGCCGACGTTGTCCGCGGGAGCCACGTCGGGCATCTTAGCCCGCGAATTCCGTGATTGGATGTGTTTTCACACACAGATGCACTATTGTGAATGTCGCGGCTCTCCCGGCTGTTTGTTAGAACGACGCCGCGATAGAATTGTACACCTCCTGAATTGGCGAGCGTCCCAAGAAAAGAACAAGTTTCTCTTTTCGGCTCACCTCTTATCACCCAGTCACTACACACTAGAAACCTTCGCGAGCACCTCGATCGCTGACCACGCGACGTTGCTGCGCGCACATACAACCGCGAAAAGTGCAAGCCAACCCCGAACGTAATCGACACATTCAACGCTCTACGTCGCTCGTACGACGTACGTACATGTTCAGTTTCCCGACGTGCAACGGGGCTCCGTACGGTGGATGGATGGATGTGTAGATGGTTGCTTCCTTCTCTCTCGTTGATCGAGATTCTCGATCCGGCAGTTCTGCCAACTATTGCGCGTCAATAACCTTTCACGTCGCTCATTTTATTTTGATTGTTCCTCGATTTTGTAATGTACCGCCTGAAAAAATTAACATTAAATAAATATGCAGTCTGAACGAGTCACGTGCGATTTTAATGACCATGAAATATGTTGTTAAGGTCATCCTTCCGAACAACGTTCTTCCTATAGATACGTGTAATAGGCCTTGTTTTTTCCATGTTGTATTCAAAAAAAGTTAAAGAGATAGAGATTCGATCGCATTAGAAACTCAATGTAACAAGAATTTAATATGCCAGTATATTAAGGGATCTAAAAGGGATATTTCAGGTTGTTTACTGTGTTCGAGACCTAACCAAAGACCTAACGCTTCAGATTTACGTTACACGAGTCCGAAAGAGAAAGACTGCATATTACATATATGATTTTATTCAGTTACGAGGGAATTTTAATCAGATATCTTTTCGTAATCTTTCGATATTTTCTAGGTATGCATGACTGTATCTGGATCGAAACAATTTGCAGAGTGATTTACCGTGTATTTTTGCTTATTTGTATATATGACTTCATTATTTTAATTTAAAATTTCATGCTAACGCATATACCGCCACGGACACATAAATATTATACGCAGGGTTCATTATAATAATAGCAACAAGTTTTCGCGAATATCTCGGAAACTGAAAGAGAGTGTGCGTACATGAAAAAGTTTTTTAGAATAATGACCTTGACAACATATTTCAAGGTCATCGAAATCAGAGGTGACTCCTATAAACTGCAGATTTACTTATTCCCTTAATATTGTTACGTTTGTTCGAAATGGATAATATGGATTATGGGCTGCATATTGTTTATCTGACAAATTAAGGAGAAAACATGAGCTATAAAGTATCAAAGGCTATAAGGATCGAAGTTCCACGTAACATGTACATACAATACCGATTGAATACGCATACGTTTCGCGGCTTGTCCTTTTAAAACGGTATATTAGTAAATATGTGCACGTGTAATATTTTATATTTGAGATTAACAGTTAGAATCAGCTGCACATGTGACTGTAATCCTGCAAAATGGGACGTCTGTTTTCCGTGCATTCCTGTAATTAATCTGATAATGTAATAAATTATTGTAACGCGAATTGTTAAATTTAATCAATATTGCATCTTGTACGTAAGTGCCACTGAGGCAAAAGTGTCTAATTTTTTAAAATACGAGCACAATTAGCAATATTTTCTAATTATTACAATTTGTTAAGATTTTTATAAATACTATACTACAAAATAATACTTGTATATAAAATTATTTTACTCTGGAACATTTAATTACGCGATCACAATTCGATATCAAGTTTAATTAAATGTTAACATGTGTAATGCACGTATAATTTGAATAGCCCATAATCTTATTAAATTCAATATAATATATGTTATTCGTCAAATTATATTAAGCATTTCATTACATAAATATTAATTTATAAACCGCTTGTTTTTGTTTGTAATAATAATAAATATACATACATTTCGATGTAACGCATTTAAAGAACTTTAATTTTACAGACATTAAAAACCCAGTGTAAATTAAAATTAAAAAGTTATATGAATATTGACGATTAACTAAAGTTAGTTAACATCTTTATTTTGAAAGATTCGGTTGCAAAGTGTGTGTAAGAATACGTATGTAGCCAGTTTCATATTTTCTCCGCAAAAGTTGGTTGCACTGTGTCGTCGGGCGGGTAAGTGCAATTTTGACGATATTTTCCGGTAGAGGCGCTGCCGTTTTGCGTCAATGTTTACCATTCGTTTCCGGTTTACGTCGTGGTTTAACGACGTTCTTCATTTTTCATTATACGTCCCTTTGTTACGATAAGTGTACATACATGTAAGTCGCATGCCATGTGTTAAAAGATTTCCCGCTTGATATACGATACAATAGCGTGGGTTACATCGTATGTTACGAATCTCATGATCGTAACGATACCGGAAGTTCTGTAGTTTCATTATCAATACGTATATTCACAGTTGACAGAAATGGCGACTGCTGTACCATCGAGATTTGCGATACTTAGTCTTGACGACGATGACTGTGAACCGAAGAAAACGCAGAAGAATGTCACTTCTAGTAAGACAGCTCAAAAAGCCAAAAACGTTAAATCGAAACAGCAACAACAGCCAAAAAAGGATGACAAGAAAAAACAAAACAAGGTATGACGCGTGTAGTACATATTTGTTGTTTTTTTTTGTTTTTGATTAGCCGGTAAAGGTCAGAATACTTATGGATACTTTTGGCGGGAATATTTTGCATGTTTCAAATTGTCAATTCCTATTGTAACAACCTTTATGGATTTCGATCTTCTTTAAATACACAGAAAGGTGACAATAATTATATGTTGAATATCATAAATCGAATATGTACTAGGTAAAGGAATTGTCAATAAATTTAAAATAGATTTATCCGTGACATTGACTAATAATGTTCATAATTATTTTACAGGGGAAAAAGAAAAAACCTAACAAGAGTAATAATGAAAATCAACAATGGGAGCAATGGAAAGAAAAAGACACAATGGTAGGTATATAAAGTGTGTTTTGTCAAATTCATGTGTCAATGATTTTCTAAGTATTTTTGGTTTGTTAATCGAATGGCGATATCGAGGACAATGTAGATTTGACTTATATTTTTGAAAATCACAGTTTAGTTTCAGATATAAATTGTTAAAGCTAAGATTTTGTTTCAGTAGTGACATATTTATAAGTGTTCTGTGTTATCATATCCAATTGTGATTTCCTTAAGGCTATCGAGGAAACATTTGAGCAAGAGCTGCATCAAGCCATTTTGCTGTCGAAGCTGGCTTATGAAGAGCAGCTAGTAAGCGTGGGTACTAGTAAGCCAGAAAAAGATCAAGAGACAAATAAGAAATCAGGGAAAAAATCAAAAAAGGCCACCATGACATTGGAAGAGTTCAATAGCATGGGATCAAACAATGTTCAAATTACAGTTGTACCTACCGATTGTGCAGATCCAAAACCTAAAGGTAATATTTCATTATTATTTGAATTTTACATAAAAATAATATGGTAACTAATGAATAGAGATGTTACAGATGTGGATAAAGAATTTTTTGATTCGGTAGAAAAGGAAACGAAAAAAGAAATTACAAAGGAAAAAGAGAAGGACATATTAAGGACAAGGCTAACACGTATAGACGATGAAATCACTTCTGCTCAATTGAGGGTAGAAGTTGAAAAACGCGATGAAGTTATAAATGAATTAAGAATCCAGGTGGAAAATTTGAAAGAAGAGGTGACACAAGTTAAAAAAAGGAACAAAAAGCTATATCAAATATTATCTCATGGAGAAAGTAAGTTATCATTGCTTAGGTTAATCATTTGTCGTTCATAAATATGATTAATTGTGTTATTTTTGTTCATCAGTGAAAGATAAAGCATCAGTATTAGCAGAAGTAGCTAAATTACAAGAAATAAGAGACGAATTAACATCAGAAGTAGCATCTTTACATGCACAACTAGAACAAGAAAGGTCCAAAACACGTACTTCTAGTGCAGATGTCAAACCATCTAAACAAACTGTAAGGTTTAATGTAGAATGAAAGTAAACGTGGCAAAGTCCGAAGAATCTTATGTAATAATGGAAAAATAAATATTTGTTTTCTAGAATAAGAAGAGGCCAGCTAGTGAAAATGCCTAAACTACAGAGTAATTTTGTTGAACGTAAAAACTGAAACATTGTGATCTATGAAACTTAATTTATCGCTATTGATTATTTTACATACTAATTAGCTAACAGTCTCAAGACTGATGTATAATTGTTAAAACTTAAGATCTCGAGATATTATTATGTATCATATTCAATTTCCAAGCATAGAGATCGGTTTTTTAAGTAAACATTTTATAAAGCATAAATGATCATTCGGTAGGGATATAGTCATGATCATATATTTTCTAAACTATGCATTTCTTTTATATATTTTGATCATATTTTGTGATCATATATATTTCTTATTATTCAATTACTTCTATGAAAGTCATTGAATATAAGGACGAATATTGCAGTGAAAGTTTAGTCGAACTGCTGCAATACTACTTCCAATATGAAAACTTGGCAGTGAACATTATCTTCCAGATTTTATGCAGACTTTATGTTAAAATAGATCAATGAATGACGCGCGTTATTTTCGTTTTTTAATAAATATATTTTTTGCAGTATACTTGTTGACATTCATAATATCCTTAATATTTCATTAAAACAATGGCACCGATACATTTCTAAAAATGCGTTATGTATTTCAAACCATTAATGTCTAATCGAACGACACATCTTTGTAGAAGTTAAACATTGAGAGCTGATCAAACTACTCTTTCTATGAGACTGAGATAGACTTGTACACTATAAAACCATAAATTTCAGGTCCTAAATGTAAGCCATATTTATATACAAACTATCATGAATGTATCAAAGTAAGTAATAAAATAAGTATATTTTCACAGATTATTTCACACTTACTCCATAAAATAAATACAATATACGAACTGTTCTAATACCTATCCCGAATTTTTCGCAATTACAAACTAAGCAGTTACGGTAGATCTTTTGTACAATATAATTTTTAGACCTGCATATGTATATTTATGTTTTATGTTCTGTTTTTTATTTATGCTTTCTATTTTTATTACACTTCAAAGCGGAAGGTAATGCATACTTCCATGGTCTACAAAGTGTAACAGAGGTTTCTATTAAATTCCAAATAAAGTGAGATAGCTTAATCGCGCAATTTTTATAGATCTTATCGTACATATCGTATTTTGTGCAGTCACGGCTGTTGTAAAACGAAGTCAGCCGTACGACATTGTCCACGTAAGTTTTTTCGAATCTTCGATTGTCATTCTTTCTGCGCACTAATTCCATGCTTTTTCAGCCATTTCCCATCGGTGACATACCATTTCGCGAAATGCTAAGCTTCATCCGGATTATACGTGCGGGTGCATTTTTATGGAAATTTTTTGTTCACTTTTTCTGCCTCGAGTTATTCCAGGGGAAATTTTTTTTCGACTCGGTCTCTCACTCGGCTTCAACATTCGGTTCGATATTTTACATCTCACGTTCCAATTCTTTTTGCGGGCTTTGCTCCATTCGTTTCCCCGAGCTCACGCAAAAAAGAGCGAGCGAGCGAGAGAGTGAGAGAGAGAGGGGAAGCAAAAAAAACGCGGTAAAGGGGATTTGCACGTACCATGATAAAATTAACTATACACTGCACCTGTTCATTAAAAACAGCGGACAGTTCAACTATATCAAAATAAACGAATCGTTCCTTTAGATATGCGTACGATAACTGATAACAGTATCTATTACAGAAAAGAATGTATGATATTTTTTTTGCGTGGTTTACACGACTTTATTCCGTAGACTTTGTTGAAACTTGTGTTCGAATACCGATCTGCTGCATTACGATCGCTATTTTAAACGAAACGGAAGATTCCGAGAGCCGATATAATGAGCGAAGCCGTTTTGGCATGTCAATTTTATTCATAAATAAAATAAACAGCTCGTATTATTATCAATTACATATTTGCAATGACTTATCGCCGCTCGTCAGGTGGTTCGAGCATGATAAACACATCATTTCGATTTATTTCCACGAACGAAAATTATTGATGCTCCGCCAATATTCGTTTAGTCGACATTCTGTAACAAATTGCGTCGCATGCTTACGATATAGTTTATTGTTCCAATCGTAACGTATTAGGTCTACCGGAAAGTTCTGTCCGTTTGAGAAATAATAGATTTTTCATAAATTTAGTAATATTTATTGTACAATATAATTCCTGTCGTTACTTATGACGGCGTGATAGCAATTTGTGAGCAACATTTTTCAAAAATATATGTCTCAAATGAATATGTGCATATCTGTCGAAATTTGCAATGACATTATCGGACAGAACTTTCCGGTACACCTAATATAAATGCAGGTATATAATAATAATAAAATAGATAGATAATAAAAATAAAATAGAACGCTTAAAAACGTTCGTTAAGTATTAAAAATGTAACACGAATATTATAATATCGACAACTAATTTTGAAATCGTGTTTTCTAGTAAAAATGGCGCAAGTAATAAAAAAAAGGTATCGACTCGCCTCAGCAATCGATTAGTTAAACTAATCCTCGCAGGATGGATAGCTGGGATATTTGCGTGCAGGGTTGAAATCGACGGTTTCGTTTAATTTTTCGAGGAAACCGATGTGGAAGAGCGAGCCAGTCGGGCATCTATTCAGCTTTTGACTGGAATCTTGGCCAATAAAAGGGGCATTAGCGCTAAGTGGACGCCTCGCCTACTCAGTCATAGTCTTGTTTGCTACAAGAGCAGAGGGTTGAAAGTACAAGGGGCGCAGTTAGCGATAGATACAACTGCGGTCCAAGTTGAAGTCAAATTCTACTTGTCCGTCGACTCGCGCGAACACCCGAAAACATCTGCCGATACACAAAAGAAATAAAACGACGAAGCACAAATTACCATTAAAAGCCGATATTATATATCAAATAGTATAATTAAAAATAATAATTGTAATATTATAAAATAGTATAATTATATTATTATTATTATTTATTATTATTTAATTACTATATATAATAGTATAATTAAAATAGTAATATTATATATCAAGATAATATATATCAAAGCCATTATTAATTACTGGAAGCAGCGAATTCAATTTTAATCGAAGTCGCGCGGATGACGTTCGAGAATCGAGACTCGTGATTTGCGCAACAGCTATCGTTTACGTTATCGTTAAGCCGATTTATTGCGCGTTAATTTCTAATTCTCGATCCATTTAAAATGATTCGAGCCGTTCGGTCGCATTCAACCGTTCGCCGTACGGTACTCGATCGACTCGATTAGCCCAATTTTCCACGGTGTGTCGAGCCAACAAAAAAGTTTGTACTTTGCCAGTTAAAGTTGCCAGTTTCGAAGCTGTCGCTGCCGAGAGGAAACCAGAGAGAGAGAGAGAGAGAGAGAGAGAGAGAGAGAGAGAGAGAGAGGGAAGAGGCGAGAGCGAGGACGAGGTACTGGGAAAAAGAGAGAGCACGACAGAGGGTGGGTTTTAGGGCGTGGGATGGTAAAGGGGGTGACAGTGGGGATTCATTATCTGACAGTCTATTGTCATTCCTGCGGGCTGAGATTTTGCTCAGGCCAAGAGCAGCATCTCTGCTATATATGTCTCTCTGTGTACATACTATACGTATATGGCCAGTGATACGCGATATTTCCCTTCAGGAACGCGTTTCGAGAGTCAGACATTTCTTTCGAATCTTTCCTTCGGATTGATTCGATATATCTATACAGAAGCTGTAGCTTTTAGTTTGATTCGCTGGCCCGAAACATCATTCGACCTGCTTACGTGTTGATACTTCAGTTGTTCGGTTTATGCGATTCGTCTGCTCGATCTAATTTTTGTTAGATTTGTAACTGACTAATACACAGACTAATTACACATGAACAGACACATAAACGGATTAATACTGACTTTTTATTTTGCAGTTATCGCGAAGATAATTCTGTAGGATTGCTATTAGTGTTTCCTGAAAGAGAAACGGATCAGCGATTTTGTTTGTCGATTCAAGATTTTTTCTAGTAAATTATCTTTTTCACAAGATAATTTCTCTCTAATTCGCGCTCAGATCGCGCACAAGAATGGACAATTTGGGAAGAGGAGCTACGATTGTTTGAGTTTCGTGGCTCACTTTTATAATTACCAATTGTCAATAATTATAAAAACGAGACGCAAGACTCGCATAATCTCTTCTCCTAATAGTAAACAGACTAATATCGACTTTTTATTTTGCAGTTATCGTGAAGATAATTCTGTAGGATTGTTATTAAAATTTGCTGAAAGAGAAACGGACCAGCGATTTTGTCTGTCGATTCAAGATTTTCTAGTAAATCTTTCTCGCGAGACAATTTCTCTCTAATTCGCGGTCCGATCGCGCACAAGAATGGACAATTTGGGAAGAGGAGCTACGATTGTTCGAGTTTCGTGGCTCACTTTTATAATTACCAATTGTCAATAATTATAAAAACGAGACGCAAGATTCGCATAATCTTTTCTCCTCTTCTCAAACTATCCATTTTCGTGTACAATTCGGGCGCGAATTAGGGAGAATTTACTTACTAATTGTACAATAGCATCCCCGAAAACGTGTTTCCATAAAATCTATGCTTCCTCCGTCGCCGAAAATACCGTTCGATTGCTATCGTTTCCCCGCGATTCACGGTTGGCAAGCATCGGCCGCGCAACTCGCGAATACGAGGGTTCCACCGCGAACGATTCGCGTCTTCGGCAGACGTCGCGAGAGGTGTCGAAATATTTGCCTGTATCGCGAAACCGCGGCACGTGAAACCGCGTCGTCGCCGCGGCGAGACGCGCCGGCGAGGTGGCGCGACCGAGATCTAAACTGAAAATCTGGACGGTGTTTGAAAGGGGTCGGATTGAATTTCTAGAATTAACGATTTCCTCGCACGAGAGAATCGGATTTAATTGTGCCGCCGCCGTTGGCCGTGTACCGTGGGGCCGGCATTGTACTTACACGGGAGCCGTATCACGGCGGAAAAAGAAAAAGGAATATCCATTTTTCCGAGCCCGCGACGACGGGGGACACAACACAGCGGCCTACATTCATTGTTTTATCTGACAAAAGTAAATACGCGGCCGCGAAAAGGAGGGAGACGAAGGGGCGAAAGGGGCGAGAGAGAGAAAGAGCGAACGAGAAAGACGAACGGAAAATTAATCCGAACATTAGGCAGGAAAATTAAGGGGGCCCCCCGTGCAAACAACGGGGGTCGCCACTCGTTATTACGATCTTATTCATCGCGTGTATCCCACGGTGTCATTAACGCCGGCCCGCGGATCGGGGCGCGCGAAGTGTCAAGCTTATGTCAATCCGCGGGAAAAATTAAGACTAACGAGGAAAGCGTTATCTGTATCGTTCAAGGGTGCCGCCTTCCCAACCGAGAAAAGAAGTTCCGCGTCGAGGATCTCGTCTTTCCCCGAGGGATAATGAGGAACCAACCCCTCCCCCTCCCCTCCACCCCGGCGACGCGACATCGGGCTCTCTATCGCCGCCCTATCATTTTTCACTACCGATCCAAGAAAGTATCCAACTCTCGGCAACCCGGCAACTTCGCGAACCGCCCGCGCCGTTTACCTTCTACGTCCCCTTATCGGCCGCGACGGTGTACGAAGTCAACAATTTCTGCACTTATCTTTCGCGAAGTCTGTTTACCGATGCCTACGGCCTCGGCGATAGGCGTGCGCGCGCGCGCGCGAGATTTACGGCTCGGATTTCCAGAGATTTCCGAATCCGTAACGTTCGACGCTCTCTCGGTTCCCGTCCTCCTTTAAATACGCTTCTCATTCAATTTTCACGTATTTCAGCGGTACGAGCTTAGCCGAAGTAGTACGACAGAGTTTGAACCGAATGTCGGCACGTTTAT